CAATAACTATAACAATAACTATATTAGCATTCAATTAATAGACAATAACTATAATGATAACTATATTAGCATCCACGCTAGATTGTAATGTCAACACCAAAATATGCTAGTAATAACAATATTAGCATCCACACCAACAGATGATAACCATAATGATAACTATATTGCCATCAACACCATTAAATGATAACTATATTATCATCGACCCCAGCAGACAATAATTATAGTTTTAATTATATTATATATAATTATATAGTTTTATTATAATTACAAATATTATAGTAACTATAATATCATCCACATAAACAGTCTATGAGTATAACAATATCCAAATTAGCCTCCACACCAACGTCCAATAGTTTCAGCTAACGTTTAGATTCGTCTAAGACTAGTCTGACCCCGTTCTCAGAGCAATATCTCATAATAATCTCTCACCTAATTTGTTTTCTGCACGAGCACTGGACTTGAGCGTATGTTTATTTATTCTACAGCGAATTAGACCGGAATGTGGGACTCTGATTATTTTCTGGCATTTTCGTCATTATTAGGAGAGCCACACAGTGAGGGCTCCTGGGAGACGCAGTCGGGCACCAGAGCAGTGTGTGTTAAATATAATGGCTTCTGCCCTCAGGCTTCGGCCCACAAGAGACTGCCAAAAGAGCCAGCTAATGGCGGCGGCATTAAACCAGAGCGTTTTTGGCTTCTGCAAACAGGCACGTGTGTTTCGCTCTCAGCCCACCAATGTCACATTGCCCCCAGGCCTTTCAAAGGAGTGTAAATATGATCCATGTGTTATTTGGGCTTTTAAAAAAAAAAAAAAAGACAGAGAGAGTGTCTGTAGTGATGAAACTTTTTGACCCATATCGTGATTTGGGAAGGAGATGTCATGCTAACTATAACAATAACTATATTTGCTGCCACATCAACAGACAATAACTATAACGAAAACTAGATTAGCATCCACACCAACAGGCGATAACTCTAACGATAATAATATTAGCATCTACACCAACAGATGATAACTATAACAATAACAATATTAGCATCCACACCAACAGATGCTAACTATAACAATAATTATATTTGCAGCCACATCAACTGAAAATAACTACAACGAAAACTAGATTAGCATCCACACCAACAGGCGATAACCCTAACGATAATAATAATAGCATCTACACCAACAGATGATAACTATTACAATAACAATATTAGCATCCACACCAACAGATGCTAACTATAACAATAACTATATTTGCTGCCACATCAACAGACAATAACTATAACGAAAACTAGATTAGCATCCAAACCAACAGGCGATAACTCTAACGATAATAATATTAGCATCTACACCAACAGATGATAACTATAACAATAACAATATTAGCATCCACACCAAAAGATGCTAACTATAACAATAGTTGCTGCCACATCAACAGACAATAACTATAACAATAAAATTTATTAGCATCCACACCAACAGGCGATAACTCTAACGATAATAATATTAGCATCTACACCAACAGACAATAACAATAACAAAATTAGCATCCACATCAACAGACGATAACTGTTACAGTAATATTATTAGCATCATCAACAGACGATAACTTTAATAATAACTATAGTAGCATCTACATCCAATAGTTCATCTGTAATGATGAAACTTTTTTTGACCTGTATCGTGATTTGGGAAGGGGATCTCATGTTGCGGTAATATATTAATTCTTGCTATTTTAAGTTCTGGCTTTTTTGAGTTCATTATGTATAAATATAATTTTTTAATTGTTCATATTTTTCCAAGTCATTTTTACGGCTAATTTAAATGAAGTATTCAGAAAATTATTTTATGACTGTGCATCATTGAACCGTTTCTTTGATTGGTTGACAGAATTATTTGTTAATTTTCTCTTTCGGCTTAATCCCTTCATTAATCTGGGATCGCCACAGCGGAATGAACCGCTAACTCATTCAGCATATGTTTTACGCAGTGGATGCTCTTCCAGCTGCAACCCATCAATGGGAAACATCCATACACACTCATTCACACATACACTACAGACAGTTTAGCTTACCCAATTCACCTATACCGCATGTCTCTGTACTTGAGGAGAAAACGCACCTGGAGAAAAAAAAATAACGCCACACAGGTAGAACATGCAAACTCCACACAGAAACGCCAACTGACCCAGCCGAGGCTCGAACCAGCAACCTTCTTGCTGTGAGGCGACAGTGCTACCCACTGCCAGAATTATTAGCTCTCCTGAATTACTAACCTTCCTATATATTTTTTCCCAATTTCTATTTAACGGAAAGTCTTTCTTTTAAACATTTCTAAATTTAAAGGCTTAACTAGGTTAATTAGGATAACTACACAAGTTCATTCATTCGTTCATTTTCTTTTTCGGCTTAGTCCCTTTTTTAATCTGGGGTCGCCACAGCGGAATGAACCGCCAACTAATCCATTATATGTTTTTCGCAGAGGATGCCCTTTCAGCCGCAACCCATCACTGGGGAACACCTACACACTGTCATTCACTCACATCAAGGAGCTGGTGGTGGATTTCAGGAGAGAGAAGAGAGAACACACCCCCATCACCATCAACGGGACACCAGTGGAGAGACTCAGCACTTTCAAGTTTCTTGGAGTCCACATCGCTGAGGATTTGACATGGACAGCTTACATAGACGCAGTGCTGAGGAAGGCACAACAACGCCTCTTCTTCCTCATGCGTCTAAAGAGGTTTGGAATGATCCCCCACATCCTCCGCTCGTTCTACAACTGCACAATGGAGAGCATCCTGTCTGGCTGTATCACCACCTGGTATGGAAATAGCACCAGCAGCAATCGCAAAGGCCTACATAGGATTGTGCGAACTGCTGGACGCGAAGTAGGAGGTGAGCTTCCCTCCCTCTGGGACATTTACACCTATGGGTGCATGAGGAAAGACAAGAGAATCATCAGCGACTCCAGCCACCCAAGCCGTAGACTTTTCTCTCTGCTATCCTCAGACCGACGGTTCCGCAGCATCCGGTCACCCACCAGCCGACTGAAGGAAAGGTTCTTCCCTCAGACTCTCAGGCTGATGAACACTTAACACACCCCACACAGACTCTTCCATACCCCTCACGACACACCATCAATATGTAACATGCACTGCACTTTAACCAATCAATACTTGAAACAATACTGCCTACAACTATGTGAACACCTACTGTCTTTGTATCGCATGTCTTTGGACTGTGGGGGAAACCAGAGCACCCGGAAGAAACCCACGCGAACCAGGCGAGAACATGCAAACTTCACACAGAAATGCCAACTGACCCAGCTGAGGCTCGAACCAGAGACATGCGGGAGAGGAGACATGGTTAAATTCTCCATAGCGTATGAGTGTGAATGAGTGTATGGGTGTTTAGGCCGAAAAGAAAATGAATGAATAATCATCATTAATTCTTACCCAGCACTGCATGTTGTATTTTAGTTCATGACATTTATTTTTTCTGACAATGTTTTGTTGATTTGATTCACAGATTATCCAGATTGACAGATCAAAAAATAAAAACAGTTCATCAGATTGCGATTTCCTTGACGGATGACATCTGCTTCCAAACATCTATCCAGATGTTCATTAATGCGCGCTCTGCTCTGCTGTGATGCCTAAAGACTACCTGCTTTATTGTTGCAGAAATGTGATTTACACACAGAACATAGAGCTGAAAAAGCCTGGGTGATTTTTATTTTTTTTTTGCTAGCAGCAGCACCTTGAGAGCCTGTCACAACCAGGTGAAAGCAGCGTCACCGCCGACATGTACCTGAAATGATGGAGCATAACAAAAAAGAGGTATTGTTAGAAAATGTGGTGACCTGAAGCTCTTTGCAAGTTTTGCCGACTTCTTTGCTGCTGTCTGCTTTCAGCTGGTAATAGCGTGGTAATGCGCTGGCTGGAAGCTCAAAGGCCAATGATTCGCTTGCCTTGAGAGCAGCTGCCACAGAAATTGGCTGACTTTAAGGGGATGTAGCTCTCGGGCCAGCAAAACAAGAACTAAAGTGCTTCCAAGTGAAGGGAACTGATCTTATATATGTCTGTGAGCTTGTAAGGCTGTCATTTTGGACACAAAACCCACCAATCATCTATTTATGTTGTATGCTGAAGGGATTATGCAGTTCTGTAAGATCTTAGCATTTTAGCACCTCTGCTTCTATCATCCTGAAGATAGTGTGTTGTCTTAAAGGTATATTTACCTTTATTATTTTTTTTATCTATTTCTTACTTAGAAGTTAAATCCTTAGTAGTTGGTTAACCTTACTTGGTTAACAGGTTTTCTCAATAGTCACTTTCACGGTTGTTACTATTAAGTGGGTAAATGTGGCTCCTGAAGAAATCACTAAACTTAAACATCATCAAAGTTTAAATGAAAAAAAAAACATATCAACTCACTAGCTCAGGGGTGGCCAACCCTGTTCCTGGAGAGCCACCTTCCTGGAGATTCCAGTTGCAACCCAAATTAAACACACCTGAACCAATTAATTATTACCTGAACACCACATTCTAATTACAGGCAGGTGTCCCTCCTAAAAAAAAAACTGCTTAAACCAGCCTAGGCTGGTTGGCTGGTTTAAGCTGGTCGACCAGGTTGGTTTCCAGCCATTTCCAGCCTGGTCGTAGCTGGTCAGGCTGGGAGATGACCAGCTAAAACCAGCTTGACCAGCCTAACCAGGCTGGGAGCCCAGCCAAAACCAGCTATGTCCATCTTAAACCAGGCTGGTCAAGCTGGTTTTAGCTGGATTTAGCTGGTCATTTTCCAGCCTAACCTGCTAAGACCAGGCTGGAAATGGCTGGAAACCAGCCT